CAACATACCCAAGCAGACAGCTTCGCTCCAATGCGAATGTGGTGAAGGACAATTAGAGCTCGTAGTCAGCCTCGCGAGAGACGGAGGCTTCCCGTCCCCCACTGTTCCTGCCCTTATTGTGCCCTATCCAGACCGTTTTCCGACCTCATTCCTGCACAAGTGGTATCAGAGGGGGCGTCGAATTCAAACCATGTGCAGATCTCCGAAACCATTTTTTCGTGAACAGTGCCTTTAANCTGCAATAGCAGACAACACACCCAAGCAGACAACTTCGCTCCAATGCGAATGTGGTGAAGGACAATTAGAGCTCGTAGTCAGCCTCGCGAGAGACGGAGGCTTCCCGTCCCCCACTGTTCCTGCCCTTATTGTGCCCTATCCAGACCGTTTTCCGACCTCATTCCTGCACAAGTGGTATCAGAGGGGGCGTCGAATTCAAACCATGTGCAGATCTCCGAAACCATTTTTTCGTGAACAGTGCCTTTAACCTCACTAATCAACTGTATGATGAGGGCAGTTTCCTCTCTATAGGAGAGTGCCAGTTGATTGGTTCTGAAAAGATGGGTGACCTCGGTTAAAACTCGCAGTAAGCAGGGAAGCGGTACCAGCAGAAAGGGCTTGAGGAAACTTTTCATAGTATAACTTATTCATTTCATGCCAAGTTTATGCCTTTGCATGAGGTGTGGGAACCAGGCCGAACCTGTGGCAGGGTTCAAGATTGNGTGCCAGTTGATTGGTTCTGAAAAGATGGGTGACCTCGGTTAAACCTCGCAGTAAGCAGGGAAGCGGTACCAGCAGAAAGGGCTACTGAAACTTGAGGAAAGAGGGCACTCTTTTCATAGTGTAACTTATTCATTTCATGCCAAGTTTATGCCTTTGCATGAGGTGTGGGAACCAGGCCGAACCTGTGGCAGGGTTCAAGATTGACGCTTTCGAAAAAGCAGTCAAATTAACTATTTTCATCTCGACCTTCTTGATATCCTAGGCTTTCCGAGCCCTTCTTTGTCCAGTTCACTAAGTTGTGCGCCTTTTGGCTACTTTAGGTTAGTAAAATCTTACGTCAGCTGAGATTTTTTATTTTCACTTTTTTCTTTTTGATGACCACAAGAGACTGATGTAAATTACCGCTAATAAGTATGTTTTGCTGAATGAATGCCGTCCAAATTCTGTTCAGTGTAATGCGCTCTGTTGAGATCCGTTTCGGTAGCTTACTGTACTCATTGTGATGTTAGAGAGTTTGGTTACTGCCCACAAGTGTGTTGTAGTGTGTATACCCATATTGCATATTTTATATAACTGCATAGTGCATAAATACTGTGTTGTTCGATCGATAAAAATTTCTACCTCTGGTTTTGAAAATTGCTGAAAATGTTCCTATCAGTTCAATCTGTGCCTTTACTGGAGTAATTATAGTAGTAATTGACAGTTCCCTTAAAACAAGTCAAAGTTATCGTGGTGGAGTTTCAACCCTGGACTGAACATCTACTGACTGCTTTCATAGTCCGCAATTCGGCTCGCGAGCGAGCGAGCTAGCGACCGGGGGCGGCGGTTGTCCATTGTTTACAACTGAATCTTGGTCTATAGCGCTGGACGAGTAGTTCCCCTGTCGTTCGCTTGTTGGTCGGTCGGTCGGTCGCTCGCTCGCTCGACCGGTCGCTCGCGGGCCGAATCGCGGACCATGAAAGCAGCCACTAGGAAAGTTCAAGGTTCAATTACCCAGGTTTGAGAACGTCTGATGGTGAATGGAGACATTCCCGAGGACGTTCACCTGCAACGCTGCGAGGATACTCCACAGACTTCGTCGGAAGCTGATCACCTCTTATCGTTCTCATGTACATTATTGGAATTGGATGAAAACAATGGCATTACGCCGCGTTTACGACAGAAGCTGCCCAAACAACGACGAACGAAAGCAACCGATTTTGTGTTCTTACGGATTCTAGGAGAAGGAGCATATAGTACAGTATATCTAGCCCGGGAGCTACGAGGTGGTGGACGAACCCGGGCCATCAAAGTTGTTCAAAAGGATTTTGTAGTACGGCATCAGAAGCTCGAAGCAGTTGTCCGTGAAAAGGACATTTTAGCATCGCTCAGCGCAGAACATGGCGGGCATCCATTTGTTACTCGACTCTACTCGACTTTTCATGATCCAGAGAGATTCTTTCTCGCTACGGATGTGGCCCATCTGGGTGACTTGTTGGGTGCACTCAATCGTCTGGGATCGTTCGATGTCCCGATGTCCCGGTTCTATGCAGCGGAAATTGTTGTCGCTCTGGAATTTGTACACAAATGCGGTGTTGTCCATCGTGATGTCAAGCCGGAAAATGTCCTGATTCGAAGAAATGGTCATATCATGCTTACGGATTTTGGTAGTGCTCAAATATATAACAAGAAATTGTTCATTCCCTATGAAGAAGAGAATGAATCCCCGACCCAAGTCCAAGGGCAAGCAAGCCAGTACCGACACTATCTTGACACCATTGCATCCAACAGTAGCAGTTCTTCACTGGAATCTGATGAGCACCATGTGGGTGGTCCCGAGCGTCGTGCCACGTTTGTCGGTACTGCCCAATATATTAGCCCAGAGATGTTGCGAGGCGACCAAGTTGGACCACCATGCGATTATTGGGCACTCGGTGTTATCGTGTTCCAAATGATCTCAGGAGAAGCTCCATTTCGAGCTGTGAACAATTTCCATCTGATGAATAAAATTCAGAAGCTTGATTTTTCATTTCCTGCAGAATTCCCTGATGTTCCAAAAGATTTTGTCTCGAAACTGCTGGTATTGGATCCTCGGGTTCGACTTGGATCCGATAATTTGGTGGATCTCAAATCCCATGAATTCTTTCATGGAATCGACTGGGAAAACATTATGAACGTAGAACCGCCGGGAATATTTCCATCAATTGTGTCTGGCCTAGAAGAGGCTGAGCTCAAATCAGTAGATGAGATGCCCGAGCCTGGTCTTAACGAAAAGGCTCTCAAACGACTGATGAATTTGTCACTGATGGAAATGGGTCTTTCCAAGCAAGTATCCCTCGATAGCGATGTTCAAAGTGACATGGTAGAACTTCCCAGGGTTGACAAGAAAGCCCTAGTAGCGAGACAGCGAAAGCTGGAAAAGCAACGCCAGGAAAACCCCTATCATATGTTCGTGCAGGATAATTTGATCATTCGTTCCGGTCTCATTGACAAGAAAAAGGGACTATTCTCCCGGAGACGGATGTTCTTGCTTACTGAGGGCCCACATCTTTTCTATGTTGATCCAAACAGTATGGAACTGAGAGGGGAAGTTCCATGGTCCCCATGTATGAGAACGGAAGCGAAAAATTTCCGAAGCTTCCTCGTTCATACTCCCAAACGAATCTACTACTTGTTCGATCCCGAGTCGAGAGCTCTAGAGTGGTGCAAAGCGATAGATCAGGTAAAACGACGCTATGCAGACAGAATAGCGGAGTCGTATGTGAGGGCAGTAAAGGATGGCACGTATGGTATAAATAAGTTTAAGAAATCGAGTAATTACTTTGGTGACAAACGAAAAAAGTCGGAAGAGGTTGGCGGGAAACATGACGGCCAATCGACCTCTGTACCATATTGAACAAATAAGCCAGCACTACTCTTATTTACCCCTTCATTACGACTAAATTATTACGAGTTTAACAGTATTTTTTATCGATATTGCCATGGATCGATGCTGTTATCTTTGTTTTTGTCCACACTTACTATTAAAGGCACAGTTCACAATAATTTTGAGGTACCCTTTTTAAGTAGAAAAGAGGAAGTGTTGATGTAGAGGAGTACATCGGTGGTGAAGAAAGCGAGAAAATCCGCTTACTTCAAGGCTTTTTTAATTAGTGGAAGTGGAGGTCGTATGAGATCACCGTGGCGGTATTGGCATGTAAGGGGTGTTTGGGCGAGATTCAACTTGCTCCCATTGTCCAAAGAGAATTACATCAAGCCATAACTGTCCAGAATTGCCTTTTGCTCCTGCTATGGGTGATGATAAGTTGTTTGACTTCCTATGTTAGTTCCCTTGTGAATGGCGCAGCCTCTACAAAGCCGTTGAAACCCGTCCACCAGGGGGTGTGCAATCACAATCTCCGGCCCCTTACTGTGCCCTATCTAGGACGTTTTTCGACTCTGTAACGACGGGTATAATCTAAAGGGGAGTTTCAAATTCATACTATAGGGAAATCTTACAAGCCATTTTTTATCGTGAACTGTGCCTTTAAGTTATAGAGTTGCTCACAGAATATATGCTTCATTGACATTGTTTACTAATTATTATATAAACTCTTTTTGAGTCATTGTAATCAGCTCTACGGGCATATTTGAACTTTATAGCATGGTCCCCTGATATCCGCAAAAGCTCCCTTTGAGATGAACATTTCCAGTAATATTCAATCTCCGTTTGATTTTTGGCATCATTTCAATTTCAAACAGCTATCTATTCTCTTCCTTAATGACTTTTTCTCATCCTTTCTATATTTCTACATTTACATTACTCGTATGTGTTTTGAGATGTTTCGATTGTTAGCTCCAACTGTATCAGTTCCTAGTGGAAACGTTTGCGTTCTCGTAAAACGTGAAATTCATTCACTCATTTCGAGCCTATGACTTTCTATTTGGTCAAGCATTATGATACGGGTCATAAATTTCGTAATTAAAGGCGCAGTTCACGATAATTTCGAGGTCCCCCTTTCTAGTCAAAAGGTGGACTTTTAGGTTGGAAGTAGTTCATCGGTAGTGAAAAAAGCGGTAGAATTCGCCGATTCCGAGAAAATATGGCACCTCAAAAGTAGGGGAAATAATTGTTGGACGAGCTTACCACTATGGAAATAACATGGAAGTAGTATTCGGACGAGATTTTATTTGTTGCAATTGTGCAAAGAACTGACTACATCAAGCCAGAAGTGTACAGAACTGCCTTTCACTGTCGCTATGGGTCATGACATGTTGTTTGAACTTCCTACATGAGTTCCCTTGTAATTGGTGCAGCCTCTATAGTGCCGGTGTAACTCGTCCGATTATACACACTTTGCAATCTTTGAGCCTTTATAACTTCCTATCTAAGCCGTTTTCCGACCTGCTTCATTGTGAACTGTGCCTTTAATTCGATATGCAATTTAAAACCTTGCTTTTTCTCAATCACATACTGACAGCTTGTCTTACCGGTATTTCCTTGTATTTCGTGATCCTTAAGACGGCTTTAAGGAGTGTCATGTTTTTAATAATATGCATATATTCCTAATTTGAGAACATTTTATGCTTTACGAATAAATATTACGCAAAAGGGCATACGGCTGCACCCAAAGTACCCAAAATGTCATTAAGCAGTGAAAAACACCCAAACAAATGTTTTGGGTACAGGGGACGTGTGAGATAAAAACAATGTTCGCATCAAAATTTCGGCGATAACTACTGCGAGCATGCTTGTGGGCCATGAGAGTGACTGATTTGATACTGAAGTTTCCTCGATGTCACTTCCTCTGTGGAATGGTAAGGAAGGAAGCCTGTGTGAGTCTACTTTTCAGATACTTTCCTATGTATCACTGAAAAAACAGTGTGGGTACTCCCTGTCAGGTGGTAGTAGTGCCAAAACGCGTTTTATCGTATATAAGGTCTAGGATCGAATCCTAATGGATATCCAACCAGGCGAATCCAGCCTTCCGTCTCTATAGAGTAGGTCAACCAGTGTCAGACTTGAGCATGAGGTCTCTTCCTAGAACGGGACTCGGCGATGCTTGAAGACTTTATCCTTTGGCAACACTTCGAAATTCTCATGNGACCCAGCAAGCTAGGTATACGCCCCGATATTCAACCATGCATTCCCAGTAGAGGAGAGGATATCCAACCAGGCGAATCCAGCCTTCCGTCCCTCTAGAGTAGGTCAACCAGTGTCAGACTTGAGCATGAGGTCTCTTCCTAGAACGGGACTCGGCGATGCTTGAAGACTTTATCCTTTGGCAACACTTCGAAATTCTCATGGAATGCTACCGATCAAAACAGTGCGAGAGCGATCGGTCGTGGAGGCCTGTATGTTCAATAGGGTTGACGTAGTGCGTGCGTTGTGAATAGAGTTGGATTCTATTCAAATCGCACTGAGAATACAACTGGTCCGAAACGGGACAAATCAGTCGCTGAAACCTTGTAATCCCGTCAAATTACTATTCGGAATCGGGGCCGGAGAGTCCTTGCTGATCAATAGTGCGGCGCAATATTGCTCTGAAAAGTAGGGGAATGTGTGGAACGGGGGTTCACAAAAAATGATCATGTGATTATAGAGGGAATGACTTCAATAAAATTCTCAAGAAATTCCTATCTTTTCCCTACTGCCTAGTGCTTTATTTTCATACTATCTAACCTCTGCGACGATCTCATGTTCGCAACCTCAGGAGCACAGTCCACGGTAATTTCAATGTGCCCCTTTCCGTCGAAAAGTGGAAGTGTAGGGTGGGAATTAATAGTTCATCGATAGTGAAGAAAGCGAGAAAATTCACTGATTTCGAAAAAAATAAAGCTGCTCGGAGGTAGGGATAATGTAGGTTGAACGAGATCACCATGACGGAAATAACATGGAAGGGGTATTCGGACGAGATTTCAGTTATTGCAGCTGCACAAAGAACTGATTACATCAAGCTAGAACTGTACAAAACTGCCTTCCACTGCCGCTATTGATCATGACAAGTTTTTGGAACTTCCTACATGGGTTTCCTCGTGATCGGTGCAGCCTCTACAATGAAACTCATTCGAGGAAACACGGAACAATCTGGTTTAGGTCGCCATTGTTTTCTCCAAAGGATCGAGGATCAGATAGGCTGGACACGTTGCGCGATGTTGTGATAACCGTCGTTATCATGGCGAATGCTGACCGCATTTCACGGGACATCAAACGAACACCAGAACGGTCACCAGTCGCATGGCCAGACGGTTGATCCACTGAGCCACTATGGTCCGCGACAGGACCAATGGAATTGTTACTAGCGCCCTTTCAAAAAATTGAAGATCAACGGGATGACAGGTGGTACAAGTGAGCTTGGACACGGTAGTGTATAGATGCATGCATGTATGCATGGTCGGGGGTCTATAATCACAACCAGACCCACGATTTCTCCGAGGTCGTTTAGCTGGTAACACCCGGGAAGACAAAAACGCTGACTTGTACGTCAGCTGGCTACTGCAATTCGTTATAAAGGCCACCTACGCATTCAGAACACCACTACGATTCTGAATAAAAGTCAAATGCAGGGCGTATCCTGAAAATAGGACTGATTGAAGGCACAACCAAGGTAATAAAGGTTCCTGAGATTTTCCCAAAGGAGATCGAGAATTCGAGATTCGTATACCATGTCTGGCGCTATCATGTCGGAAAACGGTCCAGTTAGGGCGTTATAAAGTCTCGAAGATTGGTTTGTGTGTACCCTCGGACGAGTTTCACCGTATTGTAGATGCTGTACCGATCATAAGGGAACCCATGTAGTAGTTCAAAAAGCTTGTAATGACCAATATTGATAGTAATAGGCAGGGCAGTTCTCAACAAATCTGGCTTGATGTAAACAGATCTTTGTGCAATTACAACGGCTGAAATCTCGTCCGAATATCCTTCACTATTATTTCCGTCACGGTAATCTCGTCCAACCTCCATTTCCACTGCTTGAAAAGAGCCTCAATTTTCTAAAAATCGGCGAATTCCCTCGCTCTGTTCACCACCCATGAACTAATCCCAACTGAACACCCGGTTTCCGGCGTAAAAAGGGGTACCTCAAAATTATCGTGAACTGTGCCTTTAATGCCAAAATGAATACTTTATCCTTATGTATTATGCTTGCTCGTAGTTTTCACGTGTCCCCTGCTTACAGTTTGTATCTTTTTCTCTTTTTCACAGTACCTCATATTTTTATTATCTGTTCCATTCTATCTACCATCTCAGCTTATGACCGGTAAAATATTAATAATTGCATTTTCATCGAAGAAGTTTCACGATGCTATCACGTCCTCGACTACTTTTTGATCGACTGTTTGTTGGAGCTGATCGCAAAGAGCGTAACCATCAGTACCACGTGGAATTCGATAAATAAACTCCACACTAGTCAGCAAGCTCTTGAAAATTGGAGCGGCTTGGCCTGGAATAGGCGAAATAACAGTTTTTATTCAATATGATAAAGAACATATATTGAATAGGACTCTAACGGAATGACGGGAACAGCGACGAGGTCGTTTCTGCAACTACCCTTTGACTCGGAATTTTGGCTGGGACCTAGTCGTAACACCTATTCGTCCTTGAAATTTCCTACTCTTAATTCTTTACCTTTAAAGTGAATTGCGTAATTCCTAGCAGAAAGGGGATAACTCAACATCATCATCCAAGGTTTCAGGTCTGAACTTCATATAAGATTCGCTGAGAGAATCCGATTCAAGCTACACGATATAATCGAAAGACGGAGCAGAAGGATGCCTCTACCTCCTTTTGTTTAAAAGAGTCTACATGGCAATCTGCGACGTCAATGATGGTGACCGGGTCTGGTAGTCCATCGATAAGGCACCGTTGAAATCTCGGATGCTCGCTCCATGAGGTCTTTTAGGCTGCTTGTGGACCCCAGGGTCAATAGTTACGGGCTGTCAGTTGCTGGAGCCTACCATAGAATCTAAATATTCAAAACAAAAAAAGCCCATTTCCTTCGCTTCGGTGACCCATCTGGAGATGAGTTTTAGTATGTCCTCCTACCATGCCCCTTCTAGGTAAGTGTCATGAACAGCTCTGCCATAATGTAACTATTTCTTGCCGTGTTCACATCACTTCGAGAGATACTGTATCACTGACTGGGGGCAGGAAAACGAAATGGTGACCTGGATTCTAGAGATGATTGTGGACAAAAGGAGAAGGCAGAACGGGAAAAAAGGAACCCAAAGGATTCAGCCATGGATCGAATTCTCATTGGAATTTGGGCAATCTGTTGGAAAATGAGCAAGATGTATAGTATAAAACAATTGTTTTCACTCTCACCATCCACAAAACCGAGAACGTCTTCTGCAGTCAGCTTTTCATCACACTGGACAACGAACGCTTTCATTTTTTGCGTCGCGCCTTCGTCAAGTATACTGATGACTGCAGCATCAGATATTGAAGGATGTGACAGAAGGACATCCTCCAATTCGGCTAGTGAGACCTGATAAAAACGTTACGCTTGATATCGACATTTGTCAGCCTTTTTAGCTTTTAATCGAGGAAGAAAAGTGGGTGAGTCGACGCGTTAGCTAGTAGTCCCATTAGTTAGTAGCTCCGACGGACGGGCGGGACGGACGTTCTTCCCTGGGACTACCAGCAAGTCTGCGCTCTCTTGCCGAGCCATTGTTCAAAGATGGATGAGGATTATTTTAAGAAGAATTAAGAAGAATTAAGGTTTTCATCGACTAGTACTATCAACTATTAATTATCATTAATTATTATCATGGTTATCATTGAGGGAATTACAGTTCTATCAAGTACTATCATCACCCTCATTAAAGCTTTGGGTGATATGGCACAGACGAGGGGTAATTTCGACTCGGCATGACGAGTGCGCCATGCCACTCCAACTCCAACTTATCTTGTAGGCGGTGTTGACTGCGGCGGTACGAATTCTTCACTCTAGAAGGGCAAAGCCCATAATAGCTCAGATCCTTTACATTTACTAGTTATCGGAAAGGACCTCAGGCAGGGACACGGAAGGAGTGGTGGGATAGCATTGGTACCCAGTTATAGGGGACACCCATACGACACGAGCCGGAGAGTTGCCCAAGTTACCCACCATACTCGAGTACGAATTGGTTAAATAGAAAATCAGTTCCTTTACCTGTTGTCCATCTATTTCCACCATATCCCTCTGACGACCAGAGATGAACGCTTTTCCATACTTGTCGACATAGCCTAATTGTCCTGAACATTTGCAGGTTTTCCCTCACTGTTTTAAGGGTTACAAACAAAAAAATATTGGCATGAAGTCGTCCAGCCATATTATGAATAGAAGAGTAACGTTCATTACCTGTTTGGTACCAGCCATCCTCATTGAGTTGAGCATTATCGTTCATATAGCCCCGCATTACTGTCGGTCCACGTAGACAGACCTCACCTTTTTCTTCTAAGCCCTTCAATTCACCTGTCGAAGGGCATACTACCTGAAGTCATTCCGTTAGTGATTGGGAACCCGACAGAACGTCCGTTACGAATTTATTCTCTCCAAAAGGGTCCAAGAATCAAAAGAGGCTCTTATAACTGATGACTTTGCTGTACAACTGATCTCAGCTCCCTGGATCCATCGGCGAAATCAGGTCGAGGGTTCCTCTCCAGACCTCGTTTTAGCTTATGCGTAAACTTATCGGCTTGGAAATGAAAGTCTCGGATAAGAGTTCCACGACATGGGCTGTTTCAGTGTGCAATGTATCAGACTTCCGCCATGGCAAATGGAATGAAGACTCGATATTGAAGCAAGCATACCTTCATATCAGCGATGGGGACGGAACATTCAACGTCATTGAAGTTCTCGCGGCTAAGGATGTTAGGGATCATGGCACCAGGTGCTCCTTCCAATAAACCAGCTCCTAGATGTGAAGGGGTTTGTCTCTATTCTTTTTGTCTCTTACAAAATGCCTGCACTATCTGCTATCTACCCTGTGGGTGTCGATCTCGGACAATAGGTCTCAAGCATCATGACGAGGTCTGTCTCTATCTGCCCTTTCGGTGTCAGCACCCGGGTATTTCACCCAGTGCATTGCCAACTATATCGTCGAGTATTTACCCCTTTGAAGACAATGGGCACATCATCGTGGTCACCCAGAGACCACGCCCACTTTCTTTTTTGCGTGGCTGGCACCCACCGGTTGGTGTCATTGTCGTCAAAGATTATTTTCGGATGTTTCCGGCAAGGAGCCTGTGGAGAAAGCGGCACACCGCGCCCGTCCCACTAGTCTCTTGCCGGGAAATTCCAAAAGAAGCTGAGGAGCGGATGGAGTGCATAACGTATAGGTGGCTTGGCATACGGGGCAGCTATCGAAGATTCGCAGCGCGTTTGCGCAAGCCACCACGTGGCCCATGAGAACTGTGGGGCCTGCCATTACCAGCCTGACCAGTATCGTACATGATATGACCGCCTGAATCTGCTCTCGAGGTTTTTAGAATTGCAACCTTGGTCATTCCCCTTGATGGAATCAGTAAGGTTTCGATTCCTCAGTCCTCTTTACTGTTATCAACGTGAAACTTTTTGAAAGCGATGTAGTTTTGCGTATCTTTTATCTCATACCATTTGTCATGTACTTGACGTCAGTGAATCGTTCGAGAAAAAGCTTGCGAACTCGTTTCCCAATCGGCGGTCCTCCACAGAGCACGTACTGTATTGAGTTCAGCATAAAGTCGTCGTCCATTGGCTGTTTCAGCAGTGAAACAATTTGTGCAGGTTCAGCGACCAGGATACGGGGCTGGAAGTACATACATGGAAGACGTAGAGAGAACTCGGAATGCCCGTAGTCACAGTAGGTGCCCATTTTTCGTCTTTTTCAAAAAGGGCGGCAGAATTGATGGGAGGATAAAGAATAAAGGGTTTCAGTGTGAATCACCCGTCTCTAGAATGTGTCCTGTATTCCACTATTATTCAGAATCGTAGCAGCACTTTGAATGCATATGTGGTCTGTACAATGACATGAACTGATCATCCTATGCACTTGTATAGTGCTTTTGTCTTTGTAGAAGAATGCGCTATCAACTATACGATGAGCGATTCGATCCCCCACGGAGGAGAAAGACCTGTAAACACGCAGTGTAACTGACATGCCCAAAAGCCCGCTTACCCACCGCTTACTGTATGTGTCGCGCTACATGAGGATTAGCGATTTGATGCCTCTAATCTCGTCCTTATGTGGGCGTTTCTGACGGGCGCGAGCACGTTTTTTTGTATCTTTTCCATGTGACACCGCCGTACCTCGCCTCATGAAAAAGCCATAATTCTCTTCACCGAAAATTAATTAGCAGAACCACTCTCGTCGCTGAATGAGAGTCAAAGAATTCTCACAATTCCAGCGAAGTGTGGGTTTGTGATGGATTGAAATGTTCCAGATTGTCACTTTGCCTCCATGTTCGACTCTCGATCAATCTTGGCATAGCTTTGCATTAATTTTATAAGATTTTAATAAAACCTTTTACCAAGATGGTAAATAAATTCTTATCAACTTACGTTTCGGCGTTATCGCCTTCTTCATTAGGTCTAGGGAACCGGTTTTTGAAGTTAAATTGTTGATTGAGGGATGGATAGCGATGTCTTCAGGTTTCCAACTCTGAAGAAGGCCATAACGCCGAAACGTAAGTTGATAATATTTTATTTACTATCTTGGCAACAGGTTTTATTAAAATCTTATAAAATTAATGTCACTTTGCCTTTCCATATGCATTTACTCTGTTGGTATTTCTGTTGTGTTTTCAGAATATTCCAAAGACGTACCCGGTAAGAACGAACGCTGTTGAAGACCAGTAATGGCTCGAACTTCTTTAAGATGACAGAGGTGAAACCCATTATGAGGGCGATGTTGAGGCAGAGCAGTCCGTACATACTAGCGAAAGACGAACAGAGGAGGAGACTTTCCTGCGAACAGTCCGGATACTTCAGTACTTTCTTAGCCATGCGCTCCATATATCTGAAAGAGCGGTGTGGGAGATTAGTTGTTCAGAATCAAGGAAAGGGAAGAAAGCTTACGCCTGATAGATGTCAACTGCTGTGGAGACATTCTGGTGTGTGAGTATCATTCCCATGGGGACTTCTTTCATTACATCCGTATAAGGCAAGACGGCCAAATCACTTGAACTGGAAAACGAAAACATTGTAATGTCGAATTACCAAGGAATGAGGTAGGAGATAATTTGTTGGCATCTGAAATAGGGTAATGGGCGGAAAATTCCTCCCACATCATTCACACCTCCCTAATATTCTTTGGGTTACAGAGTGGGTCTGCTGATCCCTCAGGCTTGGTTACTGAGTTCAGTTTTGTCTGTGGGAGCAAAACGTTGACCCTAAGAGCTCTTCGGATTCGCCTGATATTTTCTTTCATTTACTTTGAGACGTGTTCATGGGTACGGAGACTGGGAATAGGGTAATACGAGAGTTGACTTGTCCTCTTGACTCCTCACCCCCTTTATCCATCTTGAATAAAATACCTGGTGTGAATATGGACCTTGTTCACTGGTCCATCTATCAGATTTTTGAAATCCTCGACTCCTTCGGGCAGAGCCGAACCTGATGCTGAAGGTCTTTCACAGACAATTTTCTGGAAACTGAAAGATCAAAGCGAGCAATCGCAACCGCCACTGGACTGACCTTGACGTTGCTACACTCTTGTGCAGCTAGCATCACACGAGGTAGAATGGTTTCGTCTGTAAAAACGAGGCTCGCTTTGGAATCGCGTATTTGGTGCTCCAGAGCAGCTGAAAGCAGAGAATCTTATTCAAATTTCGGAGCTTTTCGTAGTGCTTTAGTCTCTTACCTCGGGAACTCGAAGGACTGGCACTGGTGATAGTTCCTCCACATTTCAATACTCCCAAATGGGAAACAGCGAACGCAGGCGAATTATCCATGACGAAGAGAGCAACGTCGCCCTTTGCAAACCCGCTGAACCGACTTTTTCTGATCATTAGGCATGGTTTATTACTTTGGTAACAATTTTGCCATGAGACCGCTCGTACCACTCGACACGTACCCGAAGGAAGGTCTAGTTTGCTCAGGCTCTCCCCAAGCGGACACTTATTCTTACTAGTAGCAAAAATGCTAACTCAAGGAACTTTCTGAGTCACGGTTACGGAATCGAATCAGACCCGCGAAGCCGATCGAGCAATTGCTCAACCAACTGCTTCATGTCCCATGAGTCCTTCAGTCGCTAGTTTCAAAACTAAAAAACCACCCACCGGCGAAAGGCCGGAAAGTCTCGGAACTAACTGGTCGAGAGACATCTCCTCATGATACATTGATTATTTTTGAATTTCATTTGAAACTCACTTTTTTGATAGGTATGATGCAGTGGCTTCAGTCTGATGTAACAGATCTCTGTACGTGAGGATTTCTTCTTCACAATCGGGGCTAATCTGGAAACTTGAGGCTATCGCTGAACCGATCTGTTCTAAACTCTCAACAGCGCGCTAAATTATCCGAGATCTGCTAAATCAGCCGGTTGGATTGCTCTCTTTATGAGCTATTATAGAATCAGGAGCTATGACCGCAGGGGATAATCCCTATGAGGTCTGGCGCGATATACGGTGAATGGGGAAGGAGATGCAAAGAATTTTACTTGGATGGACCTCATTATCCCAAAACATTGAAAACTTTGTGGATCTTACTTACAATTAGAACCAGGAATTCGCCAATTTCTTTTGTGGACATGACCCCAGCCAGATTCAAATCATTCAAGCATTTGTCTTGCGAAATTCATTGGGGTAGACCTAATTCGAGCGTTCACATTTAGTTTAACCCCTTATGATATGCTCTGATGCTTTCTCGAGAGCTTTTTACGCTTAAGAATCGTATCGACAATACCATGGCCATGGCTCCACTCCGATTTCCTACGAGGCAGAAAAATAGAACTATCTGTCGCTTACCAATGCAATCTTTCCAGGGTCTTCAGCATGACAGCGGATTGCACCAATGACTTTTTCATGAAGAGGAAGGTTGGAAGCTGCAACACAAGCCGCTGCTCCTCTCTGGAATCACATATGTTGCTGATCATCCTGCTGCTGCCCAAGTACATTTCACAGTAGGCAATAAATACTACTGCAGAGCAAGAACTCATAGCACGCTTATAGTAATTGTAAAAGTGAGAATGTCAAATAAAAGGGTAAAGCTTTCAGCGTTGACCAATCCTATTTGGGATGCACCCCACTTCGACTCAAATTTAGGATCGCCTAGACAAGCGGCCGGCCTAGACAACTGCTTGCGGTAATCATCCAATGTGCATGAAAGTGCCATTATTTTCACAGATGAGTATGATACCAATCAATTAATGACCTCAGAGGGATGAAAGATTTGATTGGCCTGGGTAAGGGACATTCCGGGACTGATTTTCAAACCATGGGATATGTGGCACCACTGGCCACTACCTTCGTCCACGATTTCAATGTTCACCTGTACCACCTGTCGTCCCACTCATCGCTTTCACGAGCGGACTCCAGTAACGTCCCCATTCGTTTCTATCACCAGTGCCTGGCGCAGGTCGTCGTCCTGCTTGGGCTAAGTTTTCCTGGTTAATCAGCGGAAGTTTCTTAGGGTGTCCTGATAATTCAAAGAGACTGCTCAGTTGGAGCTATAACTTAAAATTCTGTCGATCTCCAAAAATGACCGACGCTCCCCAAGTATGTAAGTTACATGGAAGGAAAGCAAAATTTTAGTTCTGACAACAATGACGGCACGGATCATCCGCAGCTGTAGAATCTGCTCAGGCAAGTACGCCATCGATGCCTTATTCTCAATTTTTTTTCCACTGTGTGAGCACTTTCAAGTAATCCGACCAGATAGGTATTTCGTAGAGTATGTCGTTTACCGACGTGTAGGTGAACTATAAACGCACCATGTGAACCAAACCGACAGCGTTGACTTCCGTCAGAACACTGCGTAATCGGCAGCACCATCGAGCCAACATTCTGTTTTGCGATTCGAACTCGAATGAAACTCTCTTCATATAACAGCGTAAACACTCAACAGCTACAGGCGGCGAGGTGGTATTTTCCTCTGCTGGCAGTGATAGGTTGTATAGAGCATTGGCTTCCTTCTCGAAGTTTTCAGAGCAAATAGTCCACCTCTAACTTCTTGTTACTCTTTCGAGTTGTCACGATAATGCTGGAATGGCTGCTTGTCTGCTCACGACATCCTCATTCATTTCCAGTTGGAGCGATTATAGAAATCAGCGTTTCGACGAAATCCATACGAAGTCTTGTCGAACCTTTGTTAAACTACATCCTGCCTTTCACCTTCCCTACCTCCTTTTGGAGCTCTCGGCTTCACTTTTTACTCACGATATCAAGTTGATAAGTTATGGTCGATAGAAAAATGAAACCTGCACACTTACATATGGGCACCAGGCTGTGAAGGTATAATCACAAGTGTCGCACTCTCACACTTGAAAGGTTTGAAAATCGAAGACCACGTCAATTCCCAGCTCGGGCAACCGATCAAACCATTCTGGGTTAATGGGCGAATTGACACTAGGATTGGGTGAAGAGAGGAAAGCTCTGACTTGTTCAACGATCGCCCACTGCAGGTAGCTATCCAGCAATATCCACCTTTCCATCCCTCCGGGGTCGGTTAATTGGTACCAGACTTGTCTGGGAGGATAAAAGCACTGACTTGTACATCGGCTGGCCACCGCAAGTCATTGTATAGGCCGCATACGCAGTCATTACGCTACTACGATTCTGAATGGAAGTCGAGCGCCGGGATCAATCCCAGATATGGTTTGATTATCGCCATAGACTGCATTCTTTTTGACTTTTCTTGCTTTTTTATTATAAACTCCAACCCAAAAACCATTAAGAAGGCGAGGGCAAGCGGAGTCTCGCTAGTGTAGGGGACAGGACACGGTGGCCGGAAAGGACAAGTTCGGGTTCGAATCCTATCCGAGGCCGACTTTTGTCCATAACTCACCAACCTTGTGAGACTTTCGGAACGCGAACTGCAGCGAAATAACAGCAGTTAACAAAACATTAAGTAAAAATATTCCAACCCATTGAAAAGAATGAAGAATGGATGGCTTGACCGATGGGGTCATATGTGTACTGTCACTGCTAAGCAAGTAGTCAAGATGGTTTGATCGTCCGAGAAAGTCAAAGACCAACACGAAGGACAGAAGTACTTCATACATTGCCATGTTCTAGTCCCACACAGGATCGATTTTGCTTCGAAAATCATCGCTTTCTCAGTCTTGTAGATAAGCCGTGAGAACGTGCTTTTTGTAGGCATAGGCCCTTGCCGTCCAATTTTTTTGCCTTCTAGAGTTTGTGACTTTATTTCCAAAAAGATCTTCAATACAGTATTCACCAACGAGTTTCGTGCTTCCCTCCCAGATTCTAGCTTCCCCCCACGTCTCTCCCAACCCACCACTCTGAAATGAATGTTACGACATTCCTCTATAGTTCACGCTCTCCAATACGAGTATCGCTTTTCCTGTAATTTTAAGAATCAAGGGAGTCACTTGTGAGTGGGCGGGGTCAACGAGATGGTGCCTCGTACCAAATGCTCACGCACCTTACGGTGCCCTTTAATCCGGCGCTTTTCCAAGCTTCGCCGTTATTGAACGGAAGTCCTGTCAGATCAATGTAGATCGATACTTTCAAATCTTTTTCATAACCCTGATCCTCACCCCTTCCGGTACATGGGCTAGAATCCTATGGTGCGATCGAGGTCTTACGATTCCGGGGCTCCAACCGCTGCGAACGTCTCGACGCTCTATTATACAACAGACGCAATACTTACCGTTAGTGCCAACTACGGTAGCCCCAACAATTTCACTGTCCCTTAGAACTCCTATCAAGCCCCAGTCCAAAAAACTACCCCTATTCCCACCTTTTCGTCACTTTGGGGAGCCCCAGACATACAGGCCGTTAAGAAGAACCACTGTAAACTGCTGCCACCCACCGTATCTCGGTACAGGGCAGCGCAGGGATGGCCTGATGACCAAGGTCAGGCTCAAGAATGATTTGAATCTGCCGCCTCGCGAGTCTGCGTCTCTGCCTGGACCGGCGGGTCAGCGTCCACTTTCAAGACGGGGATTCCCACGCCATTCCCCACCCTGAGTACAAAATCAAATTTATTAGGTTTGTTTATAAATGCTTCTACTATCCTTACCCGATGATTATCAGCTGCTATCATTTGATATTTTACTTCGGAAACTTATCAATCTGGGAACTTATCTTCGAAGTGTGTTTCATTTTCATACTGTATTTCAGTAAACCACTCCATCTCTACAT